AATTTTAGCTTCAGTTTTCTGTTCCAACCTGAAAGGAGTGTTCCACTTCATGTGTGCTTATTTTCCTGTGAACAAGCTGCCATTGTAATTTAAAGGGCTCATTGAATGATTATATAGGGTATTTGGTGCTGGTCCTTAAGGTCCCTGAATAGGGTGTGTAACAATGGTTGGGCTGAAATTGGCTTATTTGGTGTTCAATGAGCCTAATGCAAGCCTGGTTAAAAGCCCTAGAATGAAACAACAGGTTTTCTTCCTTTTATGGTATGCTCATGAATATTTAGATGAGCTGTGCGTTGATTGGTTGGTTTACAACCAGCAAAGCTGCTGAGCAAAGATGCATCATAGCAACAAGCACTCACTCACTGAAACATTGAAATTGTTGTTATGGTAGGGTGGCCAGACGTCCTCTTTTTTCCCTGACATGTCCTGCTTTTCATAACTAAAAAATGTCTTGAGGGAATCTCAAAATGGTCCGGGATTTTGTCGACTACGGTGCAGCACGTAGTTGAAACTCACCGGGCACTCGTACCGAGCCGTCAGCTCCGGGGCTGGTCCGGGAACCCCGGCCCACGGGGGGAAGGGAGCCAGCGGGGGACGGAGTGACCGAACCCAACCTGGTGATGGTTGCCTGGACACAGATGTAAAAGTACAGGCCAGAACCAAATAAGGCAACTTCGTTTGAATTCGCCCATTTTATGTTTGAAGTTTAGAATTGTGATATTTGCAGAGAAAGGAGGTGTCAATGGAGTTTGAACTTCTCTGTACGTCCATTTCACCCCTGAACTATCGTTATTCATCTATGACAAGGTAAACTCTGTTTTACATTCTATGACCCCTTTAATGACTATTTTTCTTTTTGTTTTGTTTTTTTTTTAGATCATTTTCTGTAAACCAGAGAGATGGTTGTGCAATTAAATCAGCGTAGCATAACAGTGTCTGAAACTGACACCAACACTCACATCATGTCACATAAATCCTTCTCTTCCTTGTTCTGACGTTTGCTTGAAATTCACCAGGTTGTCTTCAGCATTTCCAGATGGCTAAATAGTGGATTATGAGTCCCTGCCATGTAGAGTTGTTTTGTCAAAAAATTATTGAACAGATGCCCCTAATAAGGTTGACATGCAAACTCATTTTGGTAGCTAGTTAATACGAAGCAGTCTAAATAAAAAGGTCAGCTACTTTCACTGACAGTAGATTTCCACATACACCCAACATTCTGATGAATAAATCAACGCTTAGGGAGGGTTTCTCACTGGGATGGGCAGGGCTGGGGAAACAACAACATGCAACACAACATGGTCTCTGTCATGCATTACTGTCTCATTTGAGCTATTTTTGATGCCACTTGGGTGGAGTCCCGACGCTGTAGCTCATTTCAACAAGTAGGCTGTGTTCTGAGAATAAACAGAGTAAATTGTTTTAATCCTCCTTATTCGAGAAGAGGTTTACTGCTCAGATAGCGTGGAGCCATGTAACAACCTGCCTCTGGTTGGCAGCCTAGCTGAGCCTAAACCTGAAAGGTTGCAAGTGTCACAACTGCACTTACATCACCAGGAGCTTGGCATGACAAGCTAGAACATCATTTCTGGGTGAAACCTGTTTGCCTAATTCACACATCAGGAGAAATTTAGGCAGGCAGTGTTTCTCAGAATAATTTCCCAACAATGCTTAATTATCTAGACTAGTCAGACACTTGTGTAATATCTGATTATTTAATTATTTTTTCTGCATGTGTGTCTTTTGCAGTGTCTAGAGATGGACAACTCAACTCTGCAGAGAATGAAGAAGACGATTAAGGCTATACACACGTCTGGACTCTGTAAGCATCTGCACAGCACATCCATTAGCATGGGGGTAGGGGGGCCGGGCTGTAGCTACTTTTTGTTGCAGGCATAAAGTGCAACAACATAATATTCATTTTACTGCTAGCACTGCATCACAGCTAGTGTCAGCTAAAGGTACTGTAGCAGTTTAAACTTTTATGAGTCATTGCTGCAAACATAATACACTGATTAATGGAATACATTGAATGTATTCTGTAGTTTTCCAAAGCATAAGTCTTTGTACCAGGGATCGACCGATACACCAACTGACTGGAAGTTTTGGCTGATATGAGCATTTTTTCTTGTATCCATGTGCATTCTTTCACCAGTTCAGAAGCACACACTTTGCTGCTCCTTTTACTTACCATCAGTTATTGTTTGATTTATAAATAAAAGCTTTTTTGTTTGGGACCTCTCTATCATTAGTTGTCATTTTGTTTTATCTTCAAACAGAAGGATGTTAATGCAATAATGGGTTTAAGAATCGGCAGGAGAAAAAAAAGATTTTTGTTTGTTTATTCATTTGAGCAAGTTGTGTAAAATAAAAAATAAAAAAATAAATAAACAGGCATAATTTGTGCCTACACAGAAAAGCTAAAAAGGAGTAAGCCGAAGTATAAAACTTGTTATCACTTACCCCTTTTTCTCGCGTTCATTTTCCCCCCCTCGATATCAAATATTTTGCTACAGACATCGGTTTTAGTGCAAATTTAATCTACATTTTGTCATTATGTCCAAAACAACATAGAATTTAAGCTTTGTGTACATAATGAAAACAAATGAATTTACACAAAAGAGAACAAACCAGAACTTATCTAACAAGAGGAAAAAAGAAAGAAACACAAATATAACAGCAGAGCCAAATAACATATTTTTTATATTCATTCATCGTTCTTCGGCTTATTTTGCATAGTTTCTAAATCATTTTTTTTGTACATTTGTTTAGTTTTCAATGAGCTTCAACATTTCAAGTCCTCCTTGAGTTCATTCCATAGATAAACCCTGCGGCGAGTGATGAACATGTTCTTTAGGGTAGTTTTTTTTACTTTGTTTCTTAAACTTCATTGGACCTCGCAGATTGTACTTGTCATCTCTATCGATAAAGGTTTTTTTGATATTATTTGGAAGCAATTGATACCTTATATTATACATTATTTGTAAGGATTTAAATTTGATCAAATGATAAATTATTACTTTTGATTTTAAAAAAAGTGGGTTTAATATGTTTACCCAGACCATTGCTGTAAATTTTGTGGGATTTCCAGTTTAGTTTGAGGTCAAGGATGACACAGAGGAAATTGTATTAACAACACATTCGATTGCGTCATTGTTTAGTTTAATTTTCAGTTCAGTATCACTCCTCATGTTACCAAAAACTATACATTTGTTTTTTTTTTTCACGTTCAGTGAAAATGTATAACAGTAAAACCATTTCTTTAATTTTCCCATTTCGTAGAGATCTCGAAAAGTAATTTTTCTAAGTTCTTTCCAGGGAAAAAAAAAATTGTGGTGTCATCTGCATAGAGGACTAATTTAAAGCTGTTGCAGATATAATATAGGTAATTGATAAACATTAAGAAGACAATTGGGCCCAGCACCAAATCCTGTGGTACCCCCACACAAGATGCAATTCGTCGTAGATTTGTGTTTATTTATCTGGACAAACTGCTGTCTATTGGATAAATACGATTCCAGCCACTGTTAAAATAATAGTTGTAGGCATTATGCATGCACTAAATATACCTCTATAGGTCTATTTCTTCTTCATGCCATTAATGTTTCTCCTCATGCGAAGTGATATGCTGCTGATAGAGAGTAGAACGCTGCCATTTGGACTGATGTTTACGCAAAGTTGCAAATCAACCCTAATATTTATCTCTCCTACTTGTCCTTGCCTGCTCAGATTAGTGCAATGTGACTTAGAAACGCTTCTCCAAGGGTTGATATTTGTCTTGGATTTATCCCTCAAAGACATTTGTTTTTTTCTAGACACTCCATCGTTAAGAAATGACTTTAACCTGGACTTCAAAGATATGTGACCTGACTTGAACTTGCCCGTTAAAATGTCGACCTTGTATTGGACTTGCCCTGGAAAGCTTAAGATATAACTTTTAGTTCCCACTCAAAGAATCATGACTTAATTTGAGCGTGGAATATATAACCTCTCAACAACTGCTGCTGCTTGTAGAAAAGTCTAATGAAAAAAAAAGACTCTAAATTATGTTTATTCATATGCATCCTAACAGGTCTGTCACAGGGCAACACAGACGCACACAGACATACAACCATATACACACTCTCACACCCAAAGAACAATTTAGAGACACCAATTAACCAAACATGCTATTCATGTATTAGTTTTAATAAATATGCAAAAAATGTGAGATTGTTAGTTTTGAACATGGACAGAAGATCACCAGTAAAAGTCGTCTCCTCATACACCTGGATATACAGCTATTATTTGGCTCCATTTGCTAAATTAATAAAAATAAGCAATTCTCAGGTACATGTTTAAACTAAAAACACAAATGCATTTCTTGTCTACAATTAATTTATTTAGTATATATTAGGGGTGCACTGATAAATCGGCCGGCCGATTGATCAGCCCCGATTTCCTTCATTTAGGGCAGGGGTCTTCAACGTTTTCAAAGCCAAGAACCCCCAAACTGATTGCGAGATGGAGCGGGGACCCCCTAATTGCTTGTATTGTATGAAATTGTGTTATATCAAACTGGTCCTACAGTCACTCTATTACATATGGAGTCATGTAACGAAAGTAATTTCTCCCTGGGATTATTAAAGGTACACTATGCAACCGGTGTTGATTTTCCAGCTAGGCTCCCCCCAGAGGGNAATCAATATCCACCTCTATTATTGCAAGAAAATCAGCTTAGTGCCTTGGCTCCCCATATGTTATTGTTTAATCCTTCCCAGATAATGCTAAGAGGGTAAAGCGGGGGGTTGGTTGTTTTGAGGACAGGAACAGGTTCCTTGTGTGCATGATGATGGGTCATTGTGTTTATGTTAAATAAAGAAGTGTGGTTAGAGTTGTCTGTAATAAACCGTATGGCCTGTGTTCTTTTAGCAATCCGTCGCTCCCCTCAGTGACCTTCCAGCTGGTCCGAATGTTTTCTTACTAATAGTGTGTCATGCAGATCTTGATCAGCGCAAGTGGGAAGGAATATTTCAGACGTGAGCCCTCATTCAGAAATGTTCAAAACAACTGAGTAATATCCTAAACTGTTTTCTCCGCTCAGATGCCTGCTTCCCATTTTGAGCATTTGACTTTTTGTGTCGCCAGAATCAGCCAGCTGCGCTGAATTAGGCAACCAGTTACAGTCAGCAGCTTTCCCGTATTTGCAGAGAAGAGGTCCATCGTTACCTCCTTCTTCTTCCTGTTTAACTTAGTAAAATCATATGGAGGAGTTCCTGTAATGTGATGGTTGGAGGCCAATGGGAGGATTATTTATTGCGTCTACATAAATAAAGCTGGTTGTTCACTCACTCCTCCCCCCTTTGCAGGTCTAATGGACTCATACCTTGTCACACAAACAAAAACACTTTTGTGAGGAACACCCCCTTTTTTCATGCACATGGACTACATGTTTTCTGCTTAATTGCTGTGGTTTGTGACTGTGTGTGTTCTGCAGACCAGTTAAAGTGTAGAGTTGCTCTGGCTCCAAAAGGTCAGCTGTAAAATTACCCTCAGGCTCTTTGGAGACTCGGATCTTTATAGTGTGAGAGTTTTATGTATCTCTTTTTATAATTAAAGGTTTTGCCTTTCATTCCAATTTGATATACTACTCAATTTTAATGCTGTGGTAAAGCATCCCATCGTTTTCTTTTTTGGGTCAGTTAACCTTCTGTTTTACCACGGCTGTTTTTTGTTTTGTATGTGGCTTCACATTCTGTTTATACAAATTACGTCAGCTGACAGTAAGAACGTCATGTCTCCAACTTGCTCCTTTGAAAATGCAATAAATTTGACCACTGAGTTGTGCAGGGACAGACTTGTATTTTCAGTAATAAAGCTCTGATTGTTTTATAGAGACTTCACTATATGGAAAGTGTAACAAACATAACATACACCCTGGTTGTAGTTAAAGTCCTTTCAAGGCTTTCTAATTGATTTCTTACACAGCTTTCTTGAAACATGCTGAAAAAAAATAGAAATCTCATCCCAAAAACAAACAAACTGCACTTTGGTAAAAGGTTTCTGTTACAGAGGCTAAAGGTGCTACTATTTCCTATTTTACCAGGTTTATTCACATAAAAACAAAAGGTTACAAGTGCCTTATGTTTAGTAAAAAAAAAAAAAAAAAAGATTTTGTGGAACATAGACTCGATCTAATGTAGTTTTTTTATGTGCTCCACTTTTGATGCGCTCTCATTATAAAACGTTCATACATACTGGAGATCAATGGGGGAAAATGTGCAGTGTTCGGCTATGTTATGACCAAGATGGTTAGTTTTTTGTAACGTCTCCATCTTGTTTTATGACCTCTGCTTTTTATATTATCATGTCAAAAAAAAATCCATTAAATTTTGGTGATGATGTAGATAATAATCTGGATGCTGGAGTTTTTGAAAAGATTCTCCAACATTGTCAGATAGGGATGTTTGGCGAAACAAGCAGTACCCACTAAACCAGAGGGTGGCAGCAGTGACTATCGACACCCTCAGAATCTGACTCAAAAAGTCTGGAGGTTTTTTACTGAAGACAAAAACACAAGAAAAGGGAACATTGTTGGTTTGTTAGCAGGATCAATTGAAAATGTATGAATGGATTTTTTTTTTTACCAGATATGTGCCTCATGCCAAGGAACTATTCATTTAAATGTGGTAATGATCCAGATCATGTGCGAGTTTTAGCTACAGATGGAAGTCACAATGTGGGGCAACAGATTGCTTGGGCTCTGTTTACCACAGTGCAAGGATTTGTTGGAAAAGAAATGTGGTAACAAGGCTGTCTCCCAAAGCCACTAAAACAAAAGGCTGAAACACAATGGTGTGACAGGAGTGTGTGTGTTTATGTATTTATAGGTGTACTTCTTTATCTTACTGATTTAGAAACAT